GTTCCCATTGATTTAGCTTGGAAAGCGGGGAGAATGGCGCTAGGCTTACCGCACCGTGACGTCACTGCTGGAAGATGGCAGGAGGGAGGGGCTACTATATTTGGGCAAAAATGGCCGCTCCCAGACTCAGTGATCACGACAAAAATAATTTTACTGATTAATGCTAAATTCCTTAAATCACCGCCAACATATTAGTTTTAGGTTTAAATAATGATCCACTGATTATAGTCGACATACTGCTTTACAGCTGCTTGGTTAATAACAGAGCCAGTCTTCATATTCAATCTTCCATCACTTTATTGTCTCATTGTACATTTTGTTTATAGACAATCTGTAAAAGAAACCGAAAAAAGTAAAAAACAGAACAAAATCATTGCTCTTTCATAGAGAGCGTCATGCTTTTGGCTAAAACAATGACTGGAATCGTTACAGAGCCACAAACAGCCAAACTAACACGTACAGAGCTCTTATTTACACTGAAAACCTGATCCGTGCTCATGTCCGTAAACAGGACCCTTTAGAAAAATGCTCTCCTGGCGTGTTCGCCGCCGCAGGAGAGGAGCGGCGTCGGCTTCGATCAGGCCGGAGCACAGAGATTCTGGTTCCATTATCAGACTGATTTAGGCTCATTTTCCTTGGTTTAAATAGAACTAATTTGACATCACAAGAAGAATTTGACAAACATTTTGATTTGTTTAGGACGGGCATGTCCTCACTGGTTGTCGGTGTTTCTCAGCTTCAGCACAGCTGATTCTGAGGATTGTTGTTAATCTTCTGAGCTGAAGCAGGAAAACCTTGAGGGGCCCTCTAGGAACCTTTTCCTCTAGGAACCACTCTGGTTTAAAGGCTGGAACTTTTCCTTTTACGCCAAATTCAGGAAATAGTGAGGTGCAGAAAGGCAGAGTTTGTCCCACAGAAAGCCTCAGGAAGGGAACAACAATTACGTTTTTAGAACTTCTGGGTGAAACCACGACTTCAGTCGACTTTCTCCTCTTAGCAAAGATGCAAACGTCTATAAAATCCTTCAGGTCATCTTAGGGGTCCTTAACTCCTAAAGTCATTTCATCAGAGGGGGAAAGCAAACAGATCCGAGACGACGAAGCGACTCGGACTGCCGATGTGTTTTAGGAGCCTGGGGTTACTGCAGCTCAGCTGAAACGATGCTGGGAGCCGGTTTTTCTCATACCTACCACCATCTTGATGGCGTGTAAATCTGCTGCCAGAGGATTGAAGCCTGATCTGGGAAACATGGTCAGATTTCGACATCGTTTGATGTGCTTAAAAGGCTCAGCATCGATGTGTGAAAATGGCTAAAAGAACAACTGGAGGAACGTCCAGAAATACAGCACAGATAAAAATAAAAAAGGTGCAAAAACTTTTAAGATTTACTGCGATTTCTTTGAGTCCTTTAATATTAGCTTTGAATGTTTTCCATTACTGCATAGTTCTGCAGGCGCTGCGCTGCTAAGGCTACACTGCTGGAGGTTCTGTTTGGATGCAGTCGCTCGTCCCGGCTGCTCGGCCAATGATTGCTCCCCATTCCGTCCAAACAGTTTGCTTCATTTCAGGCCAACCGGGAGCTGGTGTCCCACATTTAGAAGAAGCGGAGCGGTCTGCGGAGATGAGCGTCATCGCTGTGGGTTATACCGGTTCCAACTGGACACAGAACCAAAGTAAAAAAGTAATAGATATATTTAATGGAACCTTCTCCTGTAGTACAATGTTAAACAGCCCCCACCAGTTACACAAAAACCACAACCATGACCCACAAAGTCTCTGGGTGGAAACCAACACCCCCCCCACCCCCCACAACACAATCAGTGAAAAGAGCAAGACACCGTCCCTGTGACCAAATCACAGCAAAAAACGCATCTCAGGAGAAAATCAGCAGAAAAACGGAGTCCCGCGTCGATCTGAAGGTGGAAAAAAATGAAAACTTCAAGACAGGAAAGAAAATCTTCTAACAAGCTTTGGCCCGATGTGTTTCTGTGCAGGAGGAGGCGGCTGTCCCAGCAGAGGAGGACGTCCTCTGTCCTCACACACAGGGAGGGGAGGGGGGGGAGGGACGCAAACAACAGGCCTGACTCTGCTGTCTCTTTGTTATTCCACCATGTGGCCAGCAGATGGGGCTGTTGCATCATGAAGATCAACCCCTGCTCTGTCAGTCAGCGCTTGTTGGACCAAAAACAACAAAAATATTAAAAACATTAAAAAAAAAAAGGTGTGAGAAAAAAAACAGAAGTGGGAGGAGAGGGTCAGCGCAGGATTCAGTCGATCTTCACGGCAGCGTAGATCTTCCTGATGAACATGTAGGCCGCGTAAAAACCGATGGTTCCCGTTAGGAGCCAGAAGGACAGCACCATCAGGGTGGTGTAACCGAAGTACAACAGGGAGGGGATGAACTCCACGATATCCAGCTGCAGAGACACCAAACACAACAAATCAGGTTCTTCACTCTTCAGATCGGTTTATTTCTACAGTAAATCTATAATCTATCTGAAGATTAACTTCCTGTTAAATCGAATTTAAAATCCTCCTTCTCACATATAAAGCCTTAAATGGCCAAGCTCCATCTGATATCAGAGATCTGATTGTTCCTTATGTTCCTAACAGAGCACTTCGCTCTCAATCTGCAGGTTTACTAGTGGTTCCTAGAATTTCTAAAAGTAGAATGGGAGGCAGATCTTTTAGTTCTCAGGCTCCTCTCCTGTGGAACTAACTACCAGTTTTAGTCCGTGAGGCAGACACCCTGTCTACTTTTAAGGCTAGGCTTAAAACTTTCCTTTTTGATAAAGCTTCTAGTTAGAGTGGCTCAGGTTATCCTGATCTATCTCTATAGTTCTGCTGCTATAGGCTTAGACTGCTGGAGGACATAGGGACCCCTTTTTCATCATTCTCCAATGCTGTTTGTTATTTTTAACCCCAAACTTTATGCTCTCCCTGCGTCGTCTGGCCTAGTTCTACTGCAAACAACAACTTCCCTCATATATAATGGCGTTGGGCCTGTTTTTCAGGGCTTAGTCTGGTTTCTCTTCTGCACATAGCTCCATACAGGTTTCCCAGGCATTTCGAGTTTACTTCCACCGCCAAGCTTATTATTATTGTTCTTATATCCGGTTGAATAAGGTCAACGTTTATTTCCAGATCATAGTCATGGCTCTAAAACGGGTATATTCCCATAAAAGAAGGCGGTTCAGTAATTTATCTCTTACAATATTTAACTTGAGAGAATAATGTGACAAAATGGCCTCATGTCGCAACCAGCAAAACGTTTTCACTTTGAGTTGATGGTGGTGGGCAGGAGGCCAGCCCAAGGAGGTGCATCTGGTTCTTCTAGTTCTGTATTAAGCTGCTGCTGCAGGGAAGCCTCAGAGACGCTGGTTCCTGCTAACCGAGTTTAATGCAGGTGGAGACAATAGGAAATGGTGACCCCCCCAATAGTTCACGCTGGGAAACGTGTCAAAAGGCTCAACTTTCACAATGATACTTTGATCCCTTTTAAGGTGAAATTGGCTCAGATCTTGTTTGATGAACGGTTTCTGTTAGTGGTGCAACGGATCATTACCAGTCCGTGATCCTTACGATTTCTCTCCATGTTCCCAACAAAATAAATGAATAAAGATGCGTTTTCACGTTGAGAGTACCGGTTCCATCCAAGAGGAGAGGAGCTTAAAAAACCAGCTGCCCCCTTTAGGTCGCATGTATGGGAGCATTTTCGTAAATGGTAAATGGCCTATACTTCTGTAGCGCTTTGGTCAAGTCAGGAGACTTGACCAAAGCACTTCACATTACATTCACCCATTTACACACTGATTTTGTCTCTCATATACGTCACAACCTTCCTCCAATTAGGTTGGAGGAAGGTTGTGGCGTATCTTTGCAGTGTGGGGAGAATTATGTCTCTTCCCTGCAGAGAAAGAATCTGAGCTTCTACCACCAACGACTCAAAGTGTGAAAACATTTTGCTGGTTGCAACATGAGGCTAGTTAATATTGTAGGAGAGAAATTAACGAGAGCGCCATTTCCCCTTTTCCTCTGATCACGGAGGAGCCGGCTTGCTTGGACCTGCAATGAATCATGGGATACCCGAGGCTACGGAGGACACAGCGGACCCGTCCTTCAAGCAAAAAGAAGGATGCATTTCTGGCCGCATAACGAGGAGTCATGGAATCCGAACAGACCTCGGCGCCGCGCTATGAAGGAATCGGCCAGCGAATCTGGCCTTCAGCGGACGCAGCCACTCAGCGATCATCTCCGCTGAGCCAGACTGACTGTGACCTTATGGTTCTTCCTGTAGGTAGAAACTCTGGTCATCGATTTGATCCCGTCGCCTTCAGACTTCACTGACTGGATGAAGAAAACTGTTTAGGCTGAAGGTTTGTTGGAGCCTGAGGGAAAGTTGTGCTTCTTTGCGTCATCCTGTGAGTTTAAAACTAGACTTAACTCTGAACCGAGTCGATCTGAAGAATCTCCTCTGTTCAGACGAGGCTGCAGCAGGTGAATCGGTTTGCAGGTGGAACTCCTCCCTCACTGCTCTGCTCTGAAGATGGAGCTTTTCTATCTGCCATAACAGAGTCATGTTGTTCCAGGTTCCTTAAACTGGTTCAGACATTATCGGATGACGGAGAATCCTCACATCCTGAAGACGTTCCGTCCGAAAAATGGAGGCTAGATGTATGAATGTTGCTGATATTGGGTATAGGGTTACAATTGTTCGTTTAACTTAACTCAAGCAGCCCCACTTATACGTAGAAGAGTCGCGTTTGCACGCCGCTCTTCAACCATTAAAGACTCGGGACGCTGCATCACAGCTGATCTTTGTCTGCTTTAAACTAGGGCGTGGCGATAAATCGAATATACTCCCTGTATCGCGAGTTTTCCCCACGCACGATAGTTAAAATGAATATCGCAGCCATGGAGTACAAATCTGCATGATGACATGACGCCATCTGCATCTATTTCACTGAGAGTTCTAATTTACCCACACACTTTGAACGCATCATAGCACCCCTCCTCCTAACAGGTTCATTTTTAAAGCACACCACAGCAACCGGCAAACTAAATATGGCGGCAGCAGGTGTTTCAGCTGAGCGATATATGACAGCGGTTTGAATTTCACGCCAAGGACGTCGAACTAAAGGCGCTAATTTATAAGAAAATCATTGCTGCAAAAGACAGGAGTACAAATTTATTCCAGCACCTAAAAAGCAAACTGAAGGAAGTTATAAACGCTACATGTCAGCGTTTCCTCGCACGCCAGTTAAAATGTTCAATCAGCTGTGAAACCGATGGCGTTGGCCTCATCGTTTGAACAAAACGATCCCATTTAAAAGAAACAGGAAGAGATGGAGGGATAATGGTCGGTTTTTTGGATGGTATTTCCACATTTTTTTGTAATTTTAGGTCAATTTATTTTTTCATTCCACATTTTTGTTATTATGCACAAAAGAGCCCTTTTTTTTTATTTTGCATTTTATTAATTTTTTATTGTGTGTTTTTGCTTTATTTCCTGTTTTGTTGCTGGGATCTTGTTAAAGATCTAAAACTGAAACCCAAAGACATCATGGGGCAGAAAAGCTTTGAGATGGTTAAAATAAAAAAATAAAAATTAGAAACCAAAAGTCTGAATGAGTATCAGTGTAATTTTATGGACTCTCTTGCTTTGGAAGGTAATTTAAACTTAGGGTGATATATATCCTTTATGGTGAAATGGCCCACATATATGGTGATATCAGATTTTCTTCATATCGCCCCCCCCCCTGGTTTAAAGGCAGCTCTGCTGCAGGAGGAAAAGCTTCAAAGTTTCCTCTGGTTTCTACCTTGTTGACGAAGTAGAAAATGGCGTAAATGAGGACGTAGAAAGCGGAGCCTCCCGACACCAGGAAGGTTCTCCACCACCACCGATAGTCCTGAGGAAGACAGAGACACGCATCACGTCCTGCCTGTCAAGAGACAGCCGACCAATCACAGAGCTCCGTGTGACGGAGCGGGAAACGGCGAGCTCACCTCTGCGCACAGCTGGAAATAAACCATCACGATGCTGATCTGAGAGCAGGACACCACCAGGATGATGAACACCAGGAACAGGAAGCCAAAGAGGTAATAAAACTGATTCTCCCAGATGGCCTGTAGGTGGCGACACACAAACCAGGATGTTGGCGGCGATACTTTAGAGCAGATGAAATGATCCAGCTGAGAACCGCTGCGACTTACACTGAAGATGAAGAAGAGCTCGATGAACATGGCGCCAAACGGTAAAATCCCCGCCATCAGGATCCTGGGGAGAGGGGGGGATTTGTTTAGTTCCCAGAGTTCGAACCGATCAGAGAACATGAAGGAAAGAGCAGGACCTACCCTACAAACTTGTTCATGTACCAGCGCTGCTCTGGCACCTGTCGGGGAATCTGATTGGTGCGTACGGGGTTATCGTAAGGCTGCTTCCGGAAGCCGAAGTAGTAGCCCAGGTAGACCAGCGGCATGGAGATGCCGAACCACATGCACAGCAGGGCCAGCATAGTGGTGAAGGGGACCTGAAACACACCAGGACAGAGAAAGGGTCACTAGTGAGGGTCTGATTGTTCTTATTTTAGGGGAAAAGCTCAATCAGGATCAAAATGTTACCATCTTCCTGAGCCGAGGTAAAACACACTGCATGCTAGTATTCACATGTGAGAGACATATTTAGTCCACGGGGATTAATGGTTTTACAGAGTTTGTCCATTTAGACCAGATCCTGAAGAATGATTCCCGTCGACGTCAAACAGACAAAGATCTTCTCCAGAAAGTTAATGTCCTGTTTATTGAGCCGGTCCTTAACTGCAGCAGCTTCAGGCTTTAACCTTTTTCTACTTAGTGTCTTTTTGCTTTCTGCCAGAAGCATTAACAGCAGTTTTTTGTTCCCCAGAGTCCAGTTATGAAATGAAATGCTTCTTCATAACTATATAGATTTATATTTACATGGGATTCTTTCAGTAAAGATGTTGTTTAGATGATGGGAAGACATCAGAAAGCTTTAATCAGTGGACAGCTCCTGAAGATGTTCCCAGTTTGTTCCACAGAAGCCCCATTTACACTACACTTGAAAAACCGTGCTGAGACCGGTCCGAGCTCAGT